TGCCAGGATAGACCCCTGCAGTACTCCGCTTGTCACTGTCTTCCCAGTAGAGTGCAACCTATTAACCACTACTTCTAAGCTAAATCATCCAAACAGATGGTTGTCCACCCATCTAGACCAAAATGTCCCAACTTGGATACAAGACTATTATGGGAGACAATGTTGAAAACTTTGCTAAAGCCAATGACATTTCAAGGGTGATAGAGAATGGCCTTACAAGGACATTGGCCACTTCCCTCAGCACCCTCAAATGCAGCCTGTTGGGTACCATGGACTTGTACAGGTCGAGTTTTCTCAAGTAATCCCTGGCTTAATCCCTGTCCATTGCTGGCTGTTCCTCTTGAATGTGTTCACTGATCACAGAGGTATGGGAGACATCATTAGTGCAGACTGAGACAAAGAAGGCTTTGAGTACTTCAGAATTCTCTGTCGTCACTATATCACCCAGCCCACTCAGCATCGGGCACACATTTTCCTTGGTCAACCTGTTATTACTAATGTAACAGTAGAAGCTTTTCTTGTTGCCCTTGACGTCCCCTGGAAATCTCAACTCCAGCTGAGCTTTAACTTTCCTGATACCATTCCCTGTATGCTCAGGCAACATTTCTAAATTCCTCCTTTGTAGCCTGTCCTTGCTTCCACCCCTTGTACGCTGCCTTTTGATGTTGGGACCTCCACTGTGAGTTCCCTGCTTAGTTAAGCTGGGCTCCTCATAAATCTGCTTATTTTCCTGCATATTAAGACAGACTGCTTTTGTGCTTGGAGAGTCCTTAAAGACCTGCTAGCTTCCCTGAGCCACTTTGCCCTTCAGAGCTGCTTCCCATGGGATCACACCTACCAGTTCCCTGAATAAGCCAAACTCTCCTTGTCTGAAGTCCAGGGTCTGTACTACTCTCCTTCCTCATTCCCTTCAAGATCTTGAGCTTCATTATTTCACAGTTGCTACATCCAAGGCTGCCACTGATTATCACATCCCTAACCATTTCTTTCTTACGAGTGAATAGCAGATCCAGGTGTTCCTCACCCCTGGTTGACTCAGATGGAGAAAGAGGTGGAAAACTGCCATGCAGTTACCAAACAACAACAGGACAGCTATTATGGTATGGGATCTGTGCAGCGAATCCCATATGGTGGTCAGTAAACAGCAGCAGGAGTTGATACTTGTGTAAAGGAGAATGAAGTAGAGAGGATGAAAAGGAGAGGACAGCTGTACAAAAACCTATCAGCACAGCTAGACAAAAAGTCCTCACAGGAATTTGGGGCCCAGTGAGAAGAACAGTAGCCAATACTAAGAGACAAGCATGCCATTGAAGGAGAAGCAGTTTGCTGTTTCAAAGTTGCACTCCACTCAGCAAGTTAAATGGGGAAAAGCAGAGAGACACAGAGCTACAGAGTCAGAATTATTTTCAGCTGAGATTCTTGCATCACAATGGGTAAGCAAGGAAGCTGCAGAAACAGAACAGTGAATCACAGTCACGGTGCCTGAGAAAAAATGCAGTGACTCAGAACTAAGAGAAAATAAGACACTGACCAGAAGTAATGAGGAGACAAGGCCTGGAGAAAGAAGAGGCGCAATATGATGTGGAGTCATGTTTCTCTACAGACAGTTTGTGGCCTGAGGTCGAAATTGAGGCACAACTGCTAGACTTGGGTCACAAAGGCCACATCAGCTCCAGAGATCTAGGTCCCCAGCTATGAATGAAGATGCCTATGAACTCTTCTGAAATTCAATGAGGGTTTCAGTGACCTGAGAACAAGGGAAGGATCCAGAGGTAAGGAAAATGGGGTGGGGTATAGCCTGCTGCACAGAACTGGAGTTAATGTTGAATACACTACAAAAAAATGCTAAGCCTTGTTACGTTACAGTATGTCAGCCTGGGCTTAACTGAGTCTTTCTTTTCATTAAAATTGCATTTTAGACAAAAGATATGCAGTAGATCAGATCGACTTGCATTTAAGTAAAGCATTTGACATACAGTCATAAAGGGAACCACTACTTAAGACTGAAAAATGGGGATTAGAACAAGAACAATATGTGGTAGAGAACTTGCATAGAAAAAAAATATTAAGCAGGCAGTACCTCATGGATCATTTTCAAAACTGATTTTATGTAGATATTTTCATTAATAGCTCAGCACAAAAAAGGAAAAGTATGCTAACAAAACTTAATCATGACAAATTTGGGTGGCACTGTCAATACAAGGCAGAGGATAGTACAGAGAATGTAAGGGAGCTGAGACTGTAAAATAGAAACGGGAAGAAATATAGCATTACAAAGCACAGGATCATGTTCCTCAGAGTCTATACCCATAATTCCTGCTCTAATATGGGAATTCATCAGTTGCAAACAATAGAAAGTAGAAATACTTGTGAGTATTAGTCAATCACAGAATGACCACATGCTGTATCAATGTGATAAGGCCATAAAAAATAAAATGTGATCCCAATCTGCATCACTAGCTATTTCCAGTAGAGATCAAAATGCATTAGCGGCATTGCAGCACTGGTGATACTGATAATCTGTAATACTATGTATAGTTCTGGTCTCCTGAGAGGTAGATTTAAAGAGGTTTGAAAGAGGTAAATGTAACCTAGAATAGATATAACGAAGGACTGTGAGGATTAGAATTGTGGGGAGCCCCCTATTACTTGGCAAACTAAAAGCACTCGCCTTGCCGTGCCTAGCAAAAAGAAAAGAAAAAAAAAAGCTGCCAGATCTAAAGTATCTCAGAAGTAAGGAACTTAACTAGTCTTGAGGCAGCAATTGTGTTGTGGCTTCCATGACAGACGGAACCAGACTGGATGTGCCAGGAGGTCCCATTCAGTTCCATAATCTTATCTTCCTACATGTAATAGTCTGCTAGGTTGAATTTTCTCATACGATTATATCCATGCAAAATTAAATCCTTCTCAAATAGCTGAACTGTAGTAGCTGAGCGATCCTACCCAACTAGCAATATGCTCCAGCGCTATAGCACAGGCTTGATCAGAGAGCCTGGAAGTCCAACAGCAGGTCATCTGTGCCAACTGCCTGACTCACTATCACAGCAAGTAACACTGAGAATCAACCTCCTTTTCCACTATTACATAAGACAGTTTTCAAGAGTAAAATGTATTTAATATCTTCCCCTCTCCCCTTCACAGTTCCCAGAAAACACAAGCAAGAGTCTGCAAAAAGTCTGTGGATAACAGATGCTGATTGGCTGGAAAATACTCCAGAAGTAGCTCCGAAAAGTTGAAAGTTTTATCCCGTGTTTCGCATGCATTCCATTGCCACCAGTGCAAATCTTCCACTTGACAGGACACCGATGCACATCCCACGAGTGGTGAGCGTAAGGAGGTTCTGATACACTGACTGCAGCCTAATGGAGTACCCTAATCCAGACATAACGTCATATCATTGATACCAGCACTCCAGCTGCACCGATAAAAACTCCATTGCAGACAGAATTCTAGCAATTTGTGTTGCCTTATCACTCCATCAGTTAAAATTATTGGCTGACGGCAACAAAGATACTGAAAGGCAAGAAGGCTTGGTGACAGCATGGTTCTGAAAGGTGCTAGCATCTGTATAGTTTTTTGACATACTTGAATAAGGCTCTACCTATTAAAAAATTATCATGGATTTGATAAACAGAGGCACAAGTCTTCTGCTGCCAAAAACGTTTGGTTACCTCTGTTCTGAGACCTTTTTATCTTATAAAGGCACCAGACCAAAAAAAAAAGGAAAAAAAGAAAGCCTTGAAATGGACATATATTTAAAGTGATAGCCTCACCATACAGGATGTGTAATTGTCTGTGAAAACAATTTGTGTAGGACACACAGAACTGACAGCACAAGAAATGTAGCTTTCATTCTAAGAAAGTACAGACTCCAAGCAGAGCAG